AATTCCTTTTTCCCCCCTCAGATAACGTGATTGTAGATCAAAGAATCCATGAACAAAACCCACAACACTTGTAGGATTAATTAGATGAGTATAACGAGAGTGCAGGGTGTGAACTCAATATACAGAAGTAAATTACTTTCCTATATGTTTGAAATTCAAAAGTAATAACACTTAACAAAAAGAATGAAGTGCCTTGATAAACATTTAACACGAGGTATAAGATATTTATGTAGAAGATATTTTATGCAGAAAACTATAAAGCACAAATGAGAAAAATCATAAAAGATCTAAATGAATGGAGAAATAGTCCACCATCATGAACTGGAAGAGTTGGTATTTTTAAGGTGCAATTCTTCCTAACTTTATCTGTAGATTCAACATAAAATCCCAGCAAGTTCTAAGAGACACTCATAAAAGTATAGGAAAACATGTATGTGACTGATTTGGCGAAAAGCATGATATCTGGAATTTAAAAAATGGATGATTTGGACTTTGTTAAGACCTTTTAGCATGGCAAAATTAGAAAAACCTGGCAATATAAATTGCTGGCAAGGATATAAAGTAGCGGGGATTCTTCTGATTTCTGATGGGAATGTGAAATGATTTGGTCACTTTGGAAGATAACGTGGTCATTTCTTAAGAAAATAAATATCATAGGTTGACTTGTCCCCCTCACCCATTCAAATGTTGAATTCTTAATTTCAGGACCTCAGAATATTATTTTATTTGAAAATAGGTCTGTTTCAGTTATTAGTTATGTTGGAGTATTGTGGACCATATTGGAGGAGGGTTGACCCCTAATTTCCTTATAAAAAAAAGGACATTTGGAGACATGCACAAAGAACATCAAGCAGAGATGAAAGCAGAGGTCAAAATCATGCTTCCATGTAGTAAGGAAGTCAAATATTGCCAGAGAAATATGGACAGATTCCAGTATTGTAAGACAATAAAATGTTCTTTGAATCATTTAGTTTTTGGTCTTTTGTTATGGTAGCTCTAGGAAAATAATACACTAAATATAGTCTGAGTGTAAGTATACACACACACACACACTCACTTATTTTGAATGCATTTGAATGTTAACTACAGTTATATTCATAATCACTCCAAACTGGAAGCAATCAAGATGTTCTTCAATATAGGAATGGATGAACTATACACACTCATAGAATGGGATAGTGTTCAGCAATAGACAGCAATAAGCTATTGAAAGCCAGGCAGGACCGAGAAAATATTCCTACTTCAATGCTTTATATGCCATGTAACTGATACTACTTGCCTTTGGGTTCTCTTCCCAGACCCAGAGGAAGGCAATTTTCTGGCCTTTCTTGCTTGAAGTTGGGACCAAGGGTCTGGGTTCTGGCCAAGGAATTGGGCGAAAGTGATGCAAGCCACTTCCAAGTTGGGCCCAGGTACCCTCCTATTTGTGTGCAGGCTGTGGGAATACAGAGGCTCCAGCAGAGATCTCATTGTGCCTCCTTCCACCCCAGAGGCCAGTCAGTCTTGCAAGTGAAAGGATAATGTATTCTTGAAAGACTGTGTATTGGGGGGGGGGGTGTTACCTACAAAATTCACTAAAACATTTTGACTAGGGGTGAGAGAGAAATAAACTTTGTTATGCAAATAGGGTTTGGGGCTTATTACTGCAGCTAACTACTCAATATGCTTGACAACACATTTGTTTTATAACATTTTTTTTCAGATTTTCCTATATTCTCTATTTGTGAGATAGTCATTTTTCTGTGTATTCTGCCTGTGGACTTGCCCTTACTTTTTACTCTTGCCTCACACAGGAGATAGCTTGTTTCCTTGTGGGTCTGATATTTTCTAGTTAGAGCTCATTTTCATAAAGGCTGTCTTTTTATTATTTTTTTAAGTCCCACGTGTGAAGTTATGGAAGTCTTTCTTCAGAGTAATTGTTGAATTCTAAACCATGGGGTAGTATCCATTGGGATGTTACTCTTAAGTCTAATGTATCTTGGGGCTTTGAATGTATGGTTAGTTTTGTCCCCCACCCCTAGCCAAAGCAGAATACATGCCTCTTCCTATTTCCCTGGGTCATGGTTGGGAATTTCAGGTCTTCCTGACATGGAAGGAGAGATTTTTCCAGGTTCTGGATTTCTCTCTATTCCAGTTTTCCACCTCTCAGAGGTTCAAGGTCAGGCTGCCGCGTTGGGGTGTGTTAAAATTTCAGACTCATCCTTGGCACCCATGTCTAGGTCCTCCCTCCCTGAGCTCCAATTGCAGCCTGGCTTGTGAATGACTGGGTTTGTGGCTGGCACTTTTTTCTAAACATAATTATGTATTACTTTTCTCTAATATTTTAGTTACCATTTGTTTGTGTTGGGCACATCAATGAGAGTCAGTGTAGGGTAAATGGTTTTCAGGCTTTTCTGCCCTCCCATCATTAAGATTGCCCTGCCTGATGGGTCACTGCAGTTGTTACATTGTTGTAAGCTGTTACTTACTTCTGTGGGCCCTGGGAGGAGTATTGAATAGTCTCCTAGAGAAACAGAAGCAGGAGAGAGGCAGGATAGAGAAGGAGAGAGAAGGGCAGAGAAGCCCAGAGTGAAGACTTGCCTGCTGCCCTCCAGGCCCCTGGGCACCCCTGCGTGCCATGTACCTGGTTGCGGCAATGCATGTAAAGCTCAATAAAAGCCTGAGAAAGCCACAGAAGTCTCCAGGACTCTCCTTTACCCGGTCTGCTCGAATCATAGAAAACCTGCTCAGTGTCCTTCCTGGCACTACAGTGAGACCTGCATAGTCTAGTCAGTGCCATTCCCAGAATGTCCTACTTCGCCCTTCATTTCACAAATTTCACATATGCAACCACTTGAGTAGGGAAGGTGGGCAGAACATAGGCAAACTAGCAGAACTGCTTATTGACACCGCACAGACTGAATTTATTTTCCCCACTCACGTCAGCTCTAAATCGTTGAGTGAGTGGATTGTGCTTGTGGGTCCTCTGGGCGCCCTGCAGAGCTCAGGGCATAAATACTTATTGACCGCTTGTCTTGCTGGAAAATGGTTTATTTCTAGATTTCTGATATTATGGGGTTTGAGGGACTTAAGGAAGCAGTTGTGCTTTCAGGAACCTGTTCCAAAGACCACACTCAAGATATAGGAATTCTTTTGAGTCCCTTGAGGGCCATATCCCTCTAGAACAGAAGGGAGGGTTTTTAGGCACTTTCATAGATAGAAAGGAAATAGATAGGATTGCAAGGCTCAGAGACTAGTGAAGATGGGATGCTAACAAGAATCTTCCAGCTGATGTCTCTTCTCCCGTTCAGTTTTATATTCTGTTCCGGATTCCTTTTTTTTCCCAACAGCCAACACCCTGTAGCTCCTTCCTTCACCACGTGCCAGCTCTGTGAACCCAGACTGCCACCCAACTCAAGAGCCAGATGAAGCACCCCTGGATGCTCACCAGGGCAAATGCCCTGGTGTCCCCTTCTACGGGTGAAGCACCTCCTTTGAGGGGGGGTGCAAATCAACTGTCCTCTTCTAGGAAGTCTCCTGCAGAAAGAGTTAATTTCTCCTTCCTCTAGTATCCTATTGCAGTTATCAAAGCCTATACTAATTATTGGTTTATGCTAATTATTTGTTTATGCTAATTATTTTGTTTATAATTAGCCTATACTAATTATCCACTAACAGGTGTGAATTTGCCACGAGACACTTCATTGCAAGGGTGTTACATTACTTCGTTTTTCCAAATTAAGTAGCTGGCCTCAGTTGTCCATTCCACCTGCTGGAGCTAAATTCAAGGATAGACAGGTTTTGGTGAGTCTTTCTCTAGTTCTTGGTATTATCTAAGAACCCCCGGGTCTTAGGCAATTGCTTCTGTCATCCTTGGCTGAACTAGTGTGGTTCAGACTCTGGGGCTCCCGATGAGGCCTGCGGCAGCGCCCTCTACGTGCGCGCGGGCAACCTGCTGCATTCTGCTTTCTGCAACCAGCTTGTGAGCTAATGGGACAGCAGAGCTTTCCCGCTACTTGTGAAGCCCTTGTGAGTGCCCTCTTCAAGGTACTGACGCGCTGGATGCACTTCCTCTTCAAGAACCTCTCCCCAACATCTAGAACACGACTTAGCTCCTGACCCCTTTGAGAAAAGTCCTCTCTGAACCTCCCCTTGCCAATGAACTCTCTCCCTGGCTCAGATAAAATCTAGACCACACCGTCAAGTTTGGGCTGTCTCTCCAACAAGGGCCTGGGAGTTTCCTTTGCAATATTCTGACTATCCTTTAAAGGAGAACCAGACATAAAGAACTTACTCAAGCGAATCCCATCACCTATGAGGGGCGTCTCGTCTCACCTCCCCATGGGCTTTGCCTCCGCTCTGGGCACTTCCAGAACCTAGCTAAGCATCTGGAAGAGGGTGCCAGCCAATGGTTGTCCAAAGCAAGCGGGGCGAGGGGGCGCAGAAGCCGGGGCTTCCCCTCAGGTCCGTGGGAGAGAGTCCCGAACCCAGGGAGGGAGCCGGGTTCGCGGTCGCAGTCCCCGGCGCACGGTGTGGGGGAGGGAGGGCCCTGGAGGACTGGACCCCACAACGTCCCGGCTTTTCCCCAGTGGCCGGGTGCAGCGTGGAGCTGCGAGGGGCAGGAGCTAAGTGGGGACGAAGGGCAGCAGCGACCGGCGGAGTCCGACCTTGCACAGCCCCCGGCGAGGCTGGAGGCGCCGCGCGCCCGGGGGCGCTCGCGGGAGGCCGGGCCGGGGCGGGGTGCCCAGGCTGTCACCGGCGCCGGGTGCGTCTCCCGCTCTCCCCCGCCGGCTGCAGTTCCCCGCGCGGCCGCCGAGCAGCCCGGGCCCCGGCGGGCAGGCGGGGGCGGGGGCGGGGGGCAGAGGCGGGGCTCGTCACGTGCGAAGGCGCGCGGGGGCGGGCGGGGCGGGGGCGCGCGCCGGGCTCCTTAAAGGCTCGCGCGCCGGGCCGGGAGAGGCGGCTCCGCGGCCGCAGCGCAGGCCGGGGCTCACAGCCGAGACGCCGGCGGGCGGGCGGCGGCCCCCGGGCTCAACATGCGCCCCTCGCGGAGAGGCATCTGGCTGGTCCTGGCCGCGTCGCTCCTGCACGGTAAAGCCGCCGCGTCTCCCCGCCCTCCACTCCGCCTCCGCGGGATCCCGGGCGCATCCCGGGCGCATCCCGGGCGCATCCCGGGCTGCTCCGTGCGCCCCGCGCCGGGGCCAGCTTTGGGGACTCACTCCGGCGAGGGGGAGCGGGGCGCTGCTGGGGTCTGCACGGGGAGAGCAGGTCCTGCTGGTCGGGGCTGCTCCGGTTGGGCGGCTGGGCAGCGCGGGCAGGGGGCGCACCCCCGCCGGCCTTCCCTGAGCAGCCCGCCCGGCTCCCCTCTCCTCAAGTGTCCCTGCAAGGCGAGTTCCAGAGGAAGCTCTACAAGGACCTGGTCAAGAACTACAACCCCTTGGAAAGGCCGGTGGCTAATGACTCTCTGCCACTCACGGTGTACTTCTCCCTGAGCCTCATGCAGATCATGGACGTGGTGAGTACCTGGCCCGGCCGCTGGGCTGCCCGCTCCTGCCAGGCGCTGACTCCCAGTGGTCCTGGGCATCAGGCGACCAGGCACTGTAGTGTGGCGGGGGAATTTCTAGCTGTCCCTGGGCCACTCCGAGCTGGGCCTGCCCGCTGCCGCGTGCCTCAGTTTCCCTGCCTGTCCCACAGATTAGGAACCCAGTGAAGCTTGTTCCACCGCCCTGGCCACCTGTGCATGGATCAGTCCCGCCTTTCACCCAGCTTACAAACTCAGGGCGAAGGTATTCCTATCCCGAGCCTGGAACCAGCAAAAACAGCGGGGTCCGAATGGCGCATGCAGCCTCACATTCGGTGTCAGTTTAGCCATGTCTGGAGTTTTCTGCTTACTGTGTTGTGTAGCTTCTTTGGGAAGGGGACTGACCGTGGTTTATGCAGCTGGGCAATCTGTCCAGGCAGAGGGCCGCGAGTGGGCGCTTAGGAACAGGAACACCCCTGCCCCTTTGCAATAATGGACTATTTTATTTTTTCCTTTCTGGTAAGGGGAGTTTTGCTCTGATGATGAGCAAGACTGCACACCGGGACACAGTTGTCTTTTTCTTCAGGCTGCTGCTGCCAGCTCCACAAGCTTCTTGCCTTGAAGACTTACTCCTACTTATTTCATTTGGCAAATGTGTAATATCTGTGTAAGTTTGTTCTTTAGCTCTTCCAGACTGTATTGACTATTCAACTTACACTGGCATAGTCTTCATACAATACTAATATTTTACAAACATGTTGGATTCGCTACAAATGGGTTTCAGTGTCTACTCTGCCCAGGCATTGGAATCTGGAGGCAGATTGTGGAGGAAGTGCAGGGCAGGGGTGAGGCACAGGGATTATGGTGTTTTGTGGGGAGGAAGAATATGGTGGGAGAGAGGTGTGGGAATAGCCACAAATCCATGTAGAGTGCTGAGAGTCACCAGAGGGGGTCAGAAAAGTGTTGTAAGAGCACAGGCGACATCTCACAATCCCACAGAGTACCTGCACCACCACACTGATGTGCCCCTTAACTCCATTAACCTAGTGATGAATGGTTTCCTTTCTCACACTACACCTGTGTTAAATGTGTGCTTCTGCCTACACAGACAACCTGCTTTAAAATAGCCACCATTTCTGTGGCACAGTGGAAAAGTTATCCTTAGGGGAGAGCTGTAAATGAGGGCAAGTGTGGTGCCATAGGTCACAAAAGGACATAGGACTATTTACAGGTCTCTGATGACAGGAAAGGAGAAAAGATGATTGTTTTGAGTTAGGAGAAAAGAGGCTGAAAAAGAAGATCTAGTATCCAGCCAGATGGGTAAGAGAAAAACGAAGGAGCTGAACCTCCAAGTGGGGCACAAGGCTCTGGGGCATTTGGGAGGGGCAGATCCTTTAAGGAGCAACTTTTCTGTTACTTCAAGGAGTTCAAGACTTACACCTTGGGCAGCTTGGTGTGTTCTGGCTCTGCTAGTCTCTGGATGGTTGGTCTTAGGGAACTTTCTTAAGCATCCTGAATCTACTTTCTGGTTTATAAAATGGACATGTTAACACTTCACTGGTCACTGTGATGACCTAAATAATAGTCAGTCAATGAAGCTATAGACACCTGAGTATGAATATGGTCATTTTTATCAAATTACCATACCCTCCCCCAACATGACCAAGGACCAGTCAGCTGGGCTGACACACTTCACGAGTGGTGCATGATAGGGAGAGAAAGTGAAGGCCCCTCACCCCACTTGCCCAACAGTAGCTTCAGCCAGACTGCCTCACTGAGTATGTGTGCTTCCTCCTGCCTCTTTAGAATGGTCCTTTTACCAGCTGGCTGGAATGTGAGGGTGCAGAGGGCATTCAGTTGAAGAGCACAAGGAGTGAACAAATGGAGTAGATTTCCTAAGGGTGTAACAGTCTCTTTTAGAGCATAGAACACTCACTGGAATCTACGTGTTTTTTCCTGGGCACCTCTTGAAGAGACCCTTAAGGGATCAGGTAAACATGAGAGATTTTGGAAGTTTATGCATAAGCTAGCGTTGCTTGATATGAAAGTTAAAAAAGAAAGCCACGAACTTTTGTTGAGGTTAGGAAATTTTTTTAAAAAAAATAATAAGAATCATAAACATTATGGGGCATCAATACCCAAGTATTAGTAAAGACAGATGTTAGCAGACAGAGGTCATGGGAGGGAGGGTCTTAGTTATACCTCAGCCATAGACCCAGCCATGAAACCATTGAGCTTCCCAGCCAAATAATGATGCAAGCTCTGCAGTGGCCTTGAGCAAATTACTTTACCTTTATAAGCCGTGTTTCCTCATGTGTAAAATGAGAATAATAATACCCACTTCGCAGGGTTTGGAGAGGATTAAATAACAGAAAGTGTTTGCTACACACTGGTGATTCACTGAAGGTTTGCTCCATCTTAATTAGTAGCCACTCAACTCAAAGTTCAAAAAGTAGAGGCCTAGAAAGGTGTGATTACAGAATGCTCAGGTCACAAGAATTCTTACTACATAGGGACAGAGTTTTGAGGAAAGCCCATATTTGACTCTCAAGACCTTTGCATCTCCTGCCACCTATAGAGTTGGTAACTTCTTTTGCAGACAAAATCAACTTAATTTATTTAAACTGGCTGAATTTAAATGATTGAATATGACTGTCCTGAGATCCTGGGTGAAAAGAAAGTCTCTATATCAAAAATGTTGAAATATGCAAACATTTGTATTCCAGTCGGACTTGGCTCTGCCTGGTTTTGAAGCAGAGCCAGGACTTTCAAGTCGGAATCTCAGCACCCTGGACAGAAACACAGTGGCTCTCATAAGAGATTCATATAGCCAAGTTGTGGCCATTGCAAGTGTCTCTTTATAAATTCAATTCCAGGGGTCTTTGCTGACTGGGCTGTTGATGGAGATCATTTCCCTCCCCAAAATTTTGTTATTGTTCCCCTTTTAGTCAGCTGAGGTTTTGTTTCTTTTAGCTGGGGAGATAGAGTTATTGCATTTGATGTTACTTTTTAGTTGACTTACACTGCACTTCCTAATTGAGCTCTTCTTATGGAGATTGCTAGATCAGGGAATTCAAAAATGAATAAAGGATGATTTCTACTTTTAGAACTCATAGTCTGCCTATGAGACTGATGTGTAAATCCAAATCACCATGTGTGTAGTTTAACATAAATGTCTGTACAAAGTTCCACAAATACACATAGGAGAAAATGTTTTTTTCTAGCTAGAGTGGCTGGGAATGGGTTCAATGAGGAGTTAGCTTTCTAAAAGTGAGTAGGAGTTTACCAGTTGGAGAAAGTAGAAAGACTTTCCAAAGTAATGGGAACAGAGTACAGAAAAACTGGTATGTTCAACAAGGTGTGTTCTTAGTGCAATGGCTCCCAATTGATCTTGGCTGAACTGTTTGCTGCAAGACTTCTCAGAAGATTTAATATGCTTATGCTTATTGAGAATTTATAAAACAGGACAGAGTATTGATCAAACAACCATTGTTTTACAAACCCTTTGGTAATAATTATGCCTTGGAAAACACACCTTTACAAGATGATGGATAAAATTATTTTGGGGTAGAAGGTGAATTTGAAGGGAGGTATAGAGTGTGGTGTAGCTTGAGTTCCTCTGCAGAATATATATTTTACCTTAGACCCTAGTCTGGAAATCTCTGAGGGCAAGAGGAGGCGGTGTGCCAGGGGTTTTGAGAAGTTGCATGATCAGCTTACCATTGCTTTTTTTTTTTTTTTTAAGAAATGGAAACAATTCCAAACATGCTATTTGTATTAAATCCAATGAGTATAAATTATAGATTAGAATGAAAAATGATCTGCATTTTAAAGACAAAATATGTCTTCAAAGAGATGCTTTACTTGTTGTGGCCTTGTTGTAGCTACTCAGCAAGCCCCTTGCTAAGGATGGGAAGGTGCAGATGTTTCGAGCAGATGAGGACATAACTGGATCTTTGTTCAGAGAGCAGAGGCTGAGGACAAATGTGCGTATTGGGAAGAGATTGGCATGTAGGATAGATGAAGATGTCGAAACTGGAATTGTCACTGTGGGAATGTGGAGAAGTAGATTCTAGAGACATTTTGAATATGCTACTTATGATATATATCTGCGGGTAAAACTTCCTGTAGGTACGTAGATAAATTTAGTAAGTGAAAGTACTTAAATTATTCCTAAATGCATAGACTGACTTAAGGTGATCATTAATTTACTTCATGGACTTGTAACTGGGCTGAGAATGAGATAATACATCAGAAATCATTTTGAAGTGATATGAATGTAGGGCTCCAAACTGCCAACATTTTCCATAATATTTCTCCTTTATTCATGCTATTTAATCATTCACCTGTATGTACATACATTTAAAGACCATTCTGAGTGTTGATTTGTAAATTAAATGAACACAGTTATGAAAGCATGTCTGGAAGGTAAGGTATTTACAATGAATAATATAAATCACGATACAATTGTATACTAATATGAAACACATAATTATTCATAAATGATTTTTTATATTTTATAGATATTTTTTATTCCAGATTCAAGTTTTTAGAAACTTCAGTTGCAAAACAGCAGAACTAATTGGCTGTGCATTTGGAGTTGCTACTACAGATGACAGATTTGGCTGTGGAGCCCAGTGTTTTGAGGGCTTGTGTGTTATTTGAAATCCCTAAGGGGACTCTTCACTTACATCTGTAGGATTTAGGGCTATGTATTTATTTGCCACTACTTAAAATGCTCCCTCTCTAATTTAATATCTTGCAATATTAACTGAAAAATTACACACCTGAACACAGTCTATGAGGGAAACCCAAGGTACATTTAAGTAATTACCCTAATAATGTTTTTCAGAAGTGATATTTCTTAATACTACAAAGGTAAAGTATGTTTTGTATAGGAAACCAAATTAAACAAAGAAAGAGGACTGAAGGAGTGAAAAAAAACCATCCAACCCACCATCGCTCAAGGCATTCTGGTGCATTTTATGCTATAT